CATATATTCTGAGAAGATAGATTTGCCTACCCAATAGGAGCAGAGTGCAGGAGCAAGAGAACTGTGAGACATGTCTGAGGGGAAAAGTGGTCAGGTCCACCAGGGAGATGCGTCCACAAGCTGAGCATCAGCTTTAGCCAGTACTTCAGCAGTTCTTCCTCCACTGGCTGGAGCTCGGAGATGGAAAGAAGGACCCCTCACCCTCAGTGTCCTCCCATGAGGGAGAGGGGCCAAAATTTATCCTTTGGGCACAAGTGGGGGTATGGAGTAGGAGAAGAGGAATTTAAAGAATCAGTGTTAGCCAGAGCACATACCTGTAATCTCAGCACTCTAGGAGGCCAAGGCAGGAGGATTCCAAGTTTTAGCCCAGCCTGGGCAATTTAGCAACTTACCAAGACCCTTTCTTAAAAGATGAAAAGGTTTGGGGATGTCATTCAATGAGAAGGCCCTGGGTTCAATTCACAGCACTACAAAAACAAAACAAAACAAAAAATCCCAAAGCAAAAGCCCAGGTTGCTTCTAACAATTTGTAATAGCACAGTTGAAAATCTAGAAGCAATGTTAAGGGAAAGCACAAAACTACCAAACTTTTCTATTACAGGCATGCACCCAATCTTTTCTATTCCTACCAAGGAATGGAAAACCTGAGTAATTTTTAAACTTTGGGAAAAAACCGAAAGTGTAGTCACATAGACAACCCTCACAGTTTTAGGGGCTAATTTACCAAAGAAAACGTGTAACCGATAAAGGTGCAATAATCATCTGTAAGAGTTCCTACAAATCAGTAGCAAAAAGACACAATTTAGTATAAAACTGGGCAAATATTCTAAATCTCGGGCAAGGTTTTTGTTTTTGTTTTTGTTTTTGGTGCTGGGATTGAATCCAGGGCCTAACACAAAGTAGGCAAGTGATCTACCACTGAGCTACACTTCCAGCCCTTGGGCCAGGTATTTAACCTCTTCCTCTGCTTGCTCATCTGAAAGTGCTAAGAGTAACAATACCTACCTCATGGCAAAGAATTAAATGAGGTGCTGCACATAAAGCATTTATGATGCTTATACTTGACCCATCATAAGCACTAAGATATTAGCAATTGTTACTCAAAAATAGCTACTAAACATATGCTTAGCTCAGTAGTAAAAAGGGTGGTAAATGCTGTTTTTCATCTATCAGATTAGCAAAAATGTAAAAAATATTTTAGCGTTTTCAAAGGTATGAGGAAATTGGTATTCTCATATTATTAATAAAAGTACAAATGGAAGCAACTTTTTTGAAGACTGATAATTGAAAATGTGATACAATTACACTTGTGGGAACCTATCCTATAAAAGCACTTGCATGTGCATACAAAGATAAATGAACAAGGATATTCATTGTAGTATTGTTTATAATAGCAAAATAATGGAATTTAACCAAAGTAACTATGAATAATTAAATGTATTGTGGTGTGTTTTATCATAATCTGCTGTAAAAGAATGAGGTAGAGCTTTTGACATGGAAAGATCTTCTGAAATACATGTTAAAAGCAAGTTGCTGGATAAATCTTGTGGACCGAGTCTGTGCTAAACCTACCATGCCTACATACATACATGTACACACACAGTAATTCATGGAGAACATTTGGAAAGATATACATCACACAGTGGTTTATCAGTCTGGAACTTTGTCAGTAAATAGAATTTGTCAGGGTCAGTAAGAAGAATTGGGGGTGGAAATAATGGAAACCTTTTATCATTTTGTTCTGTGTTATGTGAATATTTATATAGAACTTACATTCTCTGTTATCACTAAATTTAAATGTGAGTATTTAAATGAAAAAGTGACCAACAGAGTCAATTGTTATTCCTTTCAATATTTGGTTGACAACTAGGAGCAGAAGAGATGGAGTTCCTTTAACTGAGGATAAAACCTAAGTTGGTGCAAACACATGGAGCATTTGCCTTGCTTATCATTTCTCTTAAATTCCAAGATACTTTAAACTGTAAACCAAGATACATGAAAGTTGGCTTAGTTGTCTTAACAGAGACTGTCATTACATTTGTTATTTGCCTAATTTAAGGCTCTTTGATAATAAGAAACAGAAACTCACTCAGAGTAGTTTAAGGGAAGGAAAAGATTCATTCAAAGGAGTTAGAGATCTGAAGGCAAAGGATGACTGTTGGCCCCCTGAGAGACTTTGGTTTTTTTTTTTCACTGAACTGTTGTCAGTTATTACCTGTGTTACAAATAAGCAGGTCAGTGGATTAACCTTTGAATCCACTTTGATTACTTTTTCACATGTTGTAGAGTACTGGGTTCTGCCTCCTTTTACAGCTTTACACATTATCTCCCCAACACATTATATGTTATTTTGAAAGCCCTTAAGTGCTCCATAAAATGAGTATTTAGATTTAGTCATAGATTTTTTGGTACCGGGGATCGAACTCGGGACCTTGCACTTGCAAGGCAGGCGCCGGAACCACTGAGCTAAATCCCTGGCCTAGATTTAGTCATAGATTTTTAAAAGTTAGGCAAAGATGACAAGATGTATAAATATACATAAAAAAACTGAGACTATAGCTTGGTAGTAGAGTGCTTGCCTAGCATGTGTGAGACCCTAGATTTGATCCTCAGCACTGTAAAAGTAAAGGAAACAAAAACAAAATAAATACATATAGAAAAATTCTTAGGTACCTATAAAAAGCTACTAAAACTAGGAACTAATGGAGCAAAGTTAAAGGTTCAAAATTAATGTACAAAAATAAACTTTCTAATAGCAATGAATAATCAGAAATTGAATATAAGAAACAGTGCTAGGTATTTCTGGAAAAAATAAAAATTCCATTTATAGTAGCATAAAATCACTTACGAGTAAAGTTATTGAAAACATTACACCAAAAACTCAAGCATTGCAGAAAGAAATTAGAGGTGGCCTAAGTAAATGGAGAACTATCCTATATTTATGGGTTGGAAGACTCAATATTAAGATAGTAATTCTTCCCAAAGAGATCTGTAGATTCAGTACAATTGTAGTCAGAATCTCAGCAGGCTTTTTTGTAGAATTTGACAAACTGATTGAAAAATTTACACAGAAAAGCAGAATTAGCCAGGCATTGGTGGTACATGCCTATAATCCCAGCTCTTAGAAGGCTGAGGCAGGAGGATTGAAAGCTCAAGGCCAGCCTCGTCTACATAGGGAGACCTTGTCTCAAAATAAAATGGGCTAGGGATTTAAGTCAGTGGTAGTATGCCCCTGGGTTTGATCTTTAGTTCCATAAAAACAAGACAACTGGAAATACCAAGGGCTAACAAGGATGTGGAGCATCTGGCACAATCATATATTGCTTGTGGGAATGCAAAATGATACAGCCACTTTAGAAAACAGTTTGGCAGTTTTTTTTTTAAAGTAAAGTTAAAAATAGACTTACCATATGACCCAACAGTTCTACTCTTAAAGTTGTCTACCCAGAGAAATGAATGTCCACAAAAAAGACATACATAAATGTTCATGGCTTCAATATTTATAATAGCCATAATCTAGAAGTAATCCAAACATTAATTGAATAATAAATGGATAAATTATAAATAGTGCAATAAGAAAATGAGCTACTGATACAGGAAATGGATGAATCTAAAGAACATAATGGTGGGCTGGGGATTTAGCTCAGTGGTTCCGCCACCTGCCTCGCAAGCGCAAGGACCCGAGTTCAATCCCCGGTACCAAAAAAATCCCAAAAAACATAATGGTGAGTGAAAGTAGTTAGACACAAACTTCTCAATACTATAAATTCCGTTTGTAAGTATCATTATAGAAAAAGACAAAATCATACATAGATCAATGGCTAGAGGTAGAACATTGTGGAGGGGACTGAGAGAACTTTTTGGTTGGTAAAAGGGTTCTATATTTTAATTACTGTGGGAGTTACAAAACTATACATTGACTAAAACTCACTGAACTGTATACTTGAGTGAATTTTACTATATGCAACTATACTAATTTTGTGGGGGCGGGGAATACTGGTATCAAAGACTGAATTAAGTCAGAAAGATAAAGTCTTTTTCTGCTCTGTGGTTAATGCTTTTTCCATTATGGATTTTTACCAAAAATTCATACCATTCCATCTGCTAGTTGGTAGTTCATAAACAAATATATGTGATTGCCAGTTCCCATTGAGCCAGATTGAGTTTGACATAAAAGGTGATGAAAGTTAAGGGACAGGGATGTAGCTAGCAGCACAGCACCTGCCTGGCAAGCATGAGGTCCTGAGTTCAATCCCCAGTACCAAAAAAGAAAGGAAGGAAGGAAAGAAGGAAAGTTATTTAATGATGGGGCCAAAAGTGGAATAGTGGAAGCAGGTGGAATTTTGTCAATGACACCTACTTGTTTTGTTTGTTTGTTTTTTACTGTGGTTTGAATTCTTGAATGCTCATGCATTCCTTTTTTTTTGGTACCGAGGATCGAACTCAGGTATGGTATTGTACACTGTTGGTTTTTAGGTGGGACATTAATTTGTTGTAAGGGACTACACAGGATGTTTTTTTTGGTACTAGGGATCAAACTTGGGTCCTTGCACTTGCAAACCAGGTGGCAGAACCACTGAGCTAAATCCCTGGCTCAACACAGGTTGTCTGATAAGCCCCAACCCCTGAACACTAAATACCCTCAGCATTCCTAGTTGTTGTAGAAACCAAAGGAACTCTGTCACACTCTCTGATATCACAGAGGTTGTGAGAGACGGTATAACAGACTAGAAGATAATGCAGTTATGTGGCTTATGTGCCTTGGGGTCATGAGTGCCAGACTTATAGTCAGAGAACCTGTATTCAGATCTTGCTTCTGGTTTTTACTATCTTTGTAGTGTTGAATATAACTGAATCTTTCAAGTCTGGGTCTCCTGTCTGGCAGTGGGATAGCTAGTCTACATTCCTTTTCATTGTAAATTTTTTGATTCTGTAGTTAGCTATTTAATACTGCTCCAGAAGAACAAATGCTTATATGGCCCAACTTTGGTGTGTTGCAGGTTCAGCTTGTTGGTTTAGATGAAGAAAGTTCAGAATTTATTTGCCGAAACACCTTTGACCATCCGTACCCCACCACAAAACTCATGTGGATCCCTGACACAAAAGGAGTCTACCCAGACCTGCTGGCAACAAGTGGCGACTATCTCCGTGTGTGGAGGGTAAGCAAATGCTCCTTTAGCAACTAGACGAATGGGCTTTCTAAATGTTAGCTGTTAACAGTGTAGAGTCACAAAGAGCAAGTCCGGGTAAGGGCAGTGAGTGTCATTGCAGTCAGGGACAAATGAGCAAAGCTTCCTTGGACTGATTTGTTTGGCTCAGCAGATTTTCTAGTAAATCTAGCCAAGATTCCGTGAGCCCTTTTACTGGTTATAGTCAGCCTGGAAACCTGAGGCTCAGTTAACCTGATATGATGAGTACAGTCTTCAGCGGGGTTGAGGGATTCCTGGTCTGTTGACTATCAAGATATTTTTGAATAAAATAAATAAAATGTTGGGCCATTGATGCTCATGGATTCTATGAGCAGATCTTGGAGCCTCCTCTCCCCTCTTGGCTGAACTCAACAGACTCTGTAGCCTGGGGTATACAGCCCCGTAGACAAGGTCCTGAGATTCTGGATAGGGCAAATGAGAAGACCTCCCCTTTAGGACCCTGCAGAGATGAAAGTTTAGAAGGAAAAGCTGAGCAGAGAAAAACTTTGGGAAGAAGTCTAATTCAGGGAGTTCCTCTAGGTTTTATTACTCTTTATGATAAAAGTTTTTCCCACATGTCTTAGATTTACCAACATATTACCTGAATCTGGCTTTTAAATTTTTGTGTGAATATAGGACTGGTTGATTTTTAGTATATGTGCTGCCAAAGTGAGCACAGGACTGGTTGATTGATTGATTGATTTTGGTACCAGGGATCGAACTCAGGACCTTCGCTTTCGAGGCAGGCAGCGGCACCACTGAGCTAAATCCCCAGCCCTGGTTGATTTTTTTGAAATTATTGTTCTTTCAGGTTGGTGAAACAGAGACAAGGCTCGAATGTTTGCTAAATAATAACAAGAACTCAGATTTCTGTGCCCCCCTGACTTCCTTTGATTGGAATGAAGTGGATCCTTATCTTCTGGGTAAGGGAGTTAGGGAGTATGTATTCCAGTTTGAAGAAGCAGTGATACATTTTCTGAGATATAACCTTGGGCTGGGGCAGGGGATGTCAGATATAACATTGGGCCAGTAGTTTGTTTTTAATGCTGAGGATGGAACCTAGGGCCTTCTACATGCTGGGCAAGCACTCTGCCACTGAGTGACATCCCCAGCCTCTGCACCTGTTTTTAATTAGTACATGCATCATCCTATATACCACAGGGACAAGTGAGAAATGGGTAGATGTGGGATACAGTTATTCATTCCTCATATGGAGTTGAGCTTTCTGTGTGTGTATATCTTGTCTCTCTAGTTAAAATCTAAGCATCCTGTCAAATTGTATAAGTGATAATGTGAAATAGGAAGAAAAGGTCTAAAGGGGTAGGGGAAGTGGGAGGGGTAAGGGAAAGGAAAAAATATGAGAAAAGGTAAAAATGGAACAAAGTCTTTGTAAATAGAGAGGGGTGGAGGGGGTGAAGGGAGGGCAGGAGAATGGGGAAAAAATAAGAACCAAGATATATCATGTAAAGAAAGGTACAAGTTCCCAATGATGAATGTAACTGTACCGTATACCTAAAATGTACCAATAAACTTAATGAAAAAAAAAAAATCTAAGCATCCTAAGATGAGGATTAAATACTTGCCCCTTCCTACCCCCAGGAAGCATTTGTGGCATGTTGTTCCCTGGTCAAGCAGATGAGCAGGCACAGGAGGGAAGTTTGCATGGGAACCTCACCGCTCTCAGTGCTGACTTGCCCTGATGTTCGCAGGTACCTCAAGCATTGACACGACTTGTACCATCTGGGGGCTGGAGACTGGGCAGGTGTTGGGGCGAGTGAACCTTGTGTCTGGCCATGTGAAGACCCAGCTGATTGCCCATGACAAAGAGGTAATGATGCTTTTTCTTTTCTTTCCTCAGATGCTTTCTGTGCCAGTAAGTAACATGTCAGGTTGTTCTTTTACTGTTTTGCAAATTATGTAGACAGTCATAGTGGCAAAATGCTTCTTGTTCAAATTGAAAATAATGTGTCAAAACAGCAGGAACAACACTGTTGTACACTAATGCATTTTTCTTTTTTTTTGTACCGGGGATCAAATGTGGGACCTTGTGCTTATGAGGCAGGCGGCAGAACCATTGCTAAATCCCCGGCCCAGTTAATGCATTTTTTGACTAATGTAAATGACTTATTCTACAGTCTGTTGTTTTCTTTTTCATGCAAGAGGTCGCTATTTTTTTTTTTAAATAATGAAGTCTCTTGGAGACACACTGGGAACGGGTGTGATTAAAAATAATCTTAAAGTTTATTTCAAAACATAATCATTTAAAAAAACATAATCTTTGGCCAGGGATTTAGCTCAGTGGTACTGTGCCTGCCTTGCAAGTGTAAGGTCCTGAGTTCAATCCCTGGTACTGAAAAAAAAAATTAAAAACAACAACAGCAACAAAAAACGGGGCTGAGGATTTAGCTTAGTGGTGCCGCCGCCTGCCTTGAAAGCACAAGGTCCCGAGTTCGATCCCTGGTATCAAGAAAACAAACTTTAATCTTTTTCTAGGGTAAAGGGAGACAGGAAGAAAACTTTCTGATAGACAAACCTAATTATCATTTTTCCTCTCAATATATTTTATAGCATTCTAGTATATTTATGTAGTCTTTATACTTCTAATTCTATTTGGAAACAAGCATTTTATTTGATACATTTCTTATATGTTTGTGAGAAAAACTGATGAAAGCTGTTGGTGATTGTGGTTTAATCAAAGCATTTCCTTTGGTAATTTTACAAAATAGTACACCCAGAGCCATTCTATGCTTTCTCTCATTTCCTTGAGGTTGTATTTTCTTTTTTGTTCTCCCTTACCTGCACAGCTAGGAATATTAATATTTGTACAGGTAAAAAGGATGCCTTGAGAGGCCAGAAATTGGAGGTTATCAACAGTATAGGAAGGTAATGATCATTCTTAGTTAAAGGGTTGTTCTTGGGCTCTGTACTCCTAAGGTTAAGATCTATTACAAGACTGCTGGACTTGACTTTTACTAAACCAGGTTTCAAAGGAAGAGTTTGTTTTTCAGAGAGGACCAGTAAGGAACTTCTGGAAACCATCTTGGCATCATGTAAAACAGGTTGCTGCATTTTAGTTATATGACAGCCTAACTTGCTGTTCTTTTTTAGTTTCAACTCAGAGACAGTAACTACTCTTAAGTACGGTATGTAAGATACCATTTAAGCCATGGGATTTATTATGCAGATGAGGCAGCAATATACTAATTGAGAGAACAGGAGCAGCTGGAAGCTGTCATTCTCTGTAGGCCAGAAAGTCCAGTAGAGGAGACAGGGTTCCTAGAGTCCAGGGATTGAGTTTAACTAGCATTGATGCTTGTGGAAACAGAGAGAGGAAGAGAAATACTTAGCTTTGCTCTGCTTATTTGGAATGCTCTCAGGGCTGCCTGACTGATGGGAATAGAGGAAGGTTTAATACATTTGGGAATTATTATTCTCTTTTTTCTGAAAAACCACACATGGATGAAGGCTCAGTCACATAGAACTGAGAGAGCTTTGTGCACTGAGTCATATTGCTCCTAGGTATCTATGGTGTCTCACCCTGAGAGGAACTCAGAGACAGTACCATGGGTTGCACATACTGCTAAACATGCATCTGCCCTAAAGTAGCTGGATAGGACAATTGAAGCCTTGATCTGCCAGGTGTGTTGGCCCAGGTTGATGACTGGCTTCAGTTCCCTTTTGAACCTCTTTAATTACTGCTAAAGAAAGAGAAGCATAATTTCTTCCTTATCTGCCAGAGAAAATGGAATTTAGGAGATTATATAGAAATGTATGTTAATTTGACAGTGTCCCTGAGTAGGCAGAACCCAAGAGGGTAGGAGCTGCAGTGTCTAATAAGAAGTTCCACTCATATCTCCCCAGGAGTCAGCTATCATTGTTATCCTTGACTGCAGAAGATGGGTTTTGTTTGGCACTTGTTTTTGTTCTGTTTTGTTTGTTTGTTTGTTTGTTTGATACAGGGTCTTGCTGTATAGTCCAGGCTGGACTTGAACTCATTGTGTAGCCCAGGCAAGTCTCTGATTCATAATCCTCCTGCCTCAGCCTCTCTCAAGTACAGGGATTACAGGCATGACTACACCATGTCTTCTTGTCTTGCCTTGTCTTGTCTTGTCTTGTCTGAGGATCAAACCCAGAGGTGCTCTGCCACTGAGCTACATCCTTAACCCTTTGTTTTTTATTTTGGGAAGGAGTCTTGCTAAGTGGCCCAGATTGCCCTAAACTTGCCATCTTCCTGTCTTAGACTCCCAAATAGGTGAGATTATGGAGATGTGCTACCAAGTCCAACATGGCATTTTTCTGTTTTCTCTGTGTCTCTCTCCACTTGTCTGGCTCTGGCTTTGTCTGTCTCTCTTAGTTCCTGTCTTTCTCTGAAGCTCTTCATTGTTCTCTGCCTCTGTTTCCTCATAGACAGTAGTGATACAAAATGTTTGCAGAAAACAGTGATTCAAAACCAACATTGATTCAATTATTGTTATGGTTACCTAAATGTCCTCTCAAAGCCTCATGTGCCCAAAGATGGGACTTTTGGAAGATGATTGGATTATATAGACCTCTAACTGGCTTGTTGTTAGAAGGTAGAGTCTGGTTGGAAGAGCTGTGTCACTATGGGTATGGCCTGGAAGGGTTTATCTCCCTCCCTGGCTTCTCCTTTGACACCCTCTCTCTCTGCTTGTTGACCCCCTTCCCATGAACAATTCTACACTTGATCTTAGCCAAAAGGCCGAGAAGTGATTGCCATGAACAATGCTCCTCAGCCATGTCCTTCTACCATGCCGTACTGCCTTGGAGCCAGCCACAGTGGACTGAAACCTTACAAACTATGAGCCAAAATAAACCTCTCCTTTAAGTTATAAGTGTCAGATATTTGGTCCCAGCAATGAAGAAAGTGACTAAGACAGATTTTGGTAACAGAGAAATGAGGTCATTGCTGTGAGACAACCTGACCATGTGGTTTAGAAGCCTTTGGAACTGGCTCATGTGAGGAGTTTGAAAAGGTTTGGAGAGGCCAGCTGGACAAGCAACCCCAAAATGCTGTAAGCCAAGCTTCATGGAAGATTCTGGTCAGAGCTCAGACAACTAGAGTGCTGATTAAAAAAGAAAAAAAAAAAGCAGGTGGAAACGACCAGGCTCAGAAGGTCTCAGGTGGGAAGAAAGACTCCATTGCCAGCTGGACACCATGTGTGTTGTGCTCTGGCAGAAAATTTGTCTACATTTTGCTCATGTCCTGAGACTGCAGAAAACTTAGATTAAGGGTGACAGATTAATCTGGGAGAGGAAATCTCAAGGCAGCCCAACATTTAGGCTGTGACATGGGTATTGTCAGAGGCTTTTCCACCAGCTGTACATTGAGAATCAAGAGCAAATGGCATAGCTGAGTGATGTTAAAAGTTTTCAGTTCTGCCATAAAGCAAGCTTCTGCAAAGATGGAGCAGAGGAGAATTTGCTTACTGAAAAGATTAGTATCAAAATGAAGCCACATACTTTAAACAGGTCAATAGAAAGGATGACTTTAGAGCTTGTGGGGAAACAGAAAGGCCCTACCCTTCTCAGGCTTAAAATTGCAAAAGCTAAAGACTTTGCTTTGAGAAGAAAGCCCTAGGGCACCATACTTGAGAATGGATGCCTAGGGAATTTGTTCCCCTGCATTCAGTTCACAATGTTTAGCTGTCCAGACACTCAGAAGTCCCTACAGCCATGACGCAAAAGGGCCAGGCTGTTGCCGAAGACAGCAGCAGATCTTGGCACTGGTCCACGTGGTGCTGGTTTTACAGCCCTGGAGAATGCAAGAGTTGTGAGGTCAGAAAGGTTTCTGCCCAGATACCAGAAGAAGGCCTGGCAGGTCAGACACTGCCCCTGAGAAGGCAATATGTGAAACTGTGAAAGTGAAGCTGAAAGTGTATGGAGACTCCAGAAAATTGGAGAAGCCAGAAACATGGAACATCTGAAGAAAGCTACAAGGAGTGGGCAAAACCAGCCTGAGAGAGAGACCATGAGAGCTGCAACCACTGGCAATGTTGTAGGGACAGGGCTGCCCAAGCCCTTTGGAGTACATGTCATTGTCATAACTTGCCCTGGGTGCTGGACATGGAACTATAGGATTTAATGTTTACCCTGCTGAGTTTTGGTCTTGAGTTGGTCCCATTGGGCTCTATTCCCCTATTTTTTCCTTTTGGAATGAAAATGTTTACCCTGTGCCATGTTGGCAGTGTTTAACTTTCTTTTGATTTTTATAGGGACTCACGACCAAGAGTTTGCTTTGAGACTCAAAGGAGACTTGGGACTTGGATTTTTCAGCAATGCTAGAAGTATTAGAACTTTGGCAACTCTTAGAGATGGACTGTATGCACTTTGCATAAAGAGATGTTCATGGATCTTTTGGGGGGCCCGGGGCAGAATTATGTTAATATCTAGATGTCTCTAAAGCCTCATGGGGGCATAGGCAGGACCTTTGAGAGATGATTGGATTGTGGGGGCATTATAGCTGATTTGCTATTGGTTGGGAAAGACAGGTCACTGTGGTCATGTATACCTGTGATTGCATATAAATGAAAACCACCTAAGCCCAGAAAATCAATGTCTCAATCTTGGAGTACGGCAGAAGACAGCCACTTGCTCTGGCTTCCTCTGAGCCTATGTGTAGCAAATCTTTGCTCAGAGTTGTTTGTGTTCTGCCAGTTAGGTTGCATGTGCCTTTTGTTTATTAGGGTTTGGAAGAAGACTTGAAAAGCAGCTAGTGGGAAGAAGGCAGACAATGTCTGTAGCAGAATGAACTTCACTTTTGAGAAGCCATTGGTGGTAGAGGTCTAGGGTTCCAGTACCTACAGACTAACTATTTAGGCTTCATTTACCTGCTTCTGTGTCATGAGCTGGAGTTCAGATGAACTGGAGGTGGTGGATTTCCCTCCTATAGCCAAAGGAGGTGACAGATCTGAATCTTACTGAAATTTCTTACTTGATCACCAACAGGTCTATGATATTGCATTTAGCCGAGCTGGAGGTGGCCGGGACATGTTTGCCTCTGTGGGCGCTGATGGCTCAGTGCGGATGTTTGACCTCCGCCATCTGGAACACAGCACCATCATTTATGAAGACCCGCAGCATCACCCACTGCTTCGTCTCTGCTGGAACAAACAGGACCCTAACTACCTGGCCACCATGGCCATGGATGGAATGGAGGTGAGCACCCCAAGTAGTCTAACAAGGCCCTGGCACCTAACACGAACACTACTTAGTGTATCTCGAAGACTGGTTCTTAGCTGGTCGCAGTGTTTCTCCCAGGGAATTTTTGGAAAATCTGGAGATATTTTTGGTTGTGACAACTTGGGAGGAGGAGGGTAATGCTCCTGGCATCTACCAGATAGAAACCAGGGATACTGCTAAACATCCTACAGTGCACAGGATATTCTCCAACAAAGTATTATCCTACCCAGAATGTCGATAGTGCTGAGATTGAGAAAGCCTGATGTAGAACAAGGACTGTGTTAAAACTTCTAATACCTGGAGTGTTAGATTTAGAGCCAAGATAAGCAATATTTACAGAGTGATATAAATTGTTTGTGTATTCGGGCTGGGTGAAAAAACAAGCTGGTTCCCCCTTCTACATTCTGGACAGATTCATCCAGCTTCAGCAAAGAGATGTAGAAAAAGGAACTCTCTCTAGTGTATTACTCAATAAAAGTAGTGAATTATAGGTGAAGAGGATCCAGGGATTGACCTTGTTTTAGTGAGGCTTACACTTCAGACTTCTTACATTCCCAGTTCTGCTTTGATGAGGCTCTCATGTTGCCCTGATGAGATGCAGAGAGTTCTTATCGCTATTAACTGCTGGGACTCAGGACTTATCCAAACTCATGTTGCCTACTTCTGCTTCCCCTTTTCCCTGTCAGCTTAAAGGCCAGTGTTGTCCAATGTATAGGGACTATACATTCTTCTAGTTTTCTTATTCCTCAAACCTGAGGAAACCCTGTCTAATATTATTTAAATGCACAATGAAAAAGTTATGTTTGAGGGCCGGGGATTTAGCTCAGTGGTTCTGCCACCTGCCTCACAAGCGCAAAGACCGGAGTTTGATCCCCGGTACCAAAAAAAAAGTTATGTTTGAGAAAAATTTTGTGTGTGGTTTTTTCTTTGTTTGTTTGGTCATACCTTGTGGTTCCGGGCCCTTTTACTTGTTTTTCTACAGGTGGTGATTCTGGATGTCCGCGTTCCCTGCACACCTGTCGCCAGGTTAAACAACCACCGGGCATGTGTCAATGGCATTGCTTGGGCCCCACATTCATCCTGCCACATCTGCACTGCAGGTAACCAAGTTGGGGAGAAAATAACATGGGGTAGCAAGGAATCTGCCACTCTTGGAACCTTAGAAATGTAATCCTTACTGTTTTCCAACAACAGCTTTGAGAGATTTACACAGAGTGACTCACTCAGGGCCCTTGCCACACTGTGAAATTGAAGCATTCCACATTTCCAGATGATCTTGTACCCCTGTTGGGCAGAGTCTCTTCCACAAATACTAATTTTTTTTTTTTCTTTTGAGACAGAGTCTCACTGTATAGCCCAGGCTGTCCTCGAATTCATGGTGGTCTTCCTGCTTCAGCCTCCCAGGTGCTGGGATTACAGGAGTGCACCACTGCACCCAGCTTGTTCCACATATACTAATGACAATGTGTATCAGATATAGGCCTGTGCCTCGAACTGTCCTTCTGGAAATCTAGGTTCATACAGAATCTTTGGGAATGCCAAGGTTAGCATCTCCTTACACCTTTCAGACTTCACTATAATGAATCTGCAGGAAGCTCTGAATGTATTGAGGGCCATGTAGCCTTCCCTGGTCAATGATGTGTGACTTGTTCCCATGTCATCATTTTTTACACCAAAAAGAATACCCCTTGAAAATATGCTGGTTGTAAGTTAGCTTTTATTCTAGAAATAATGTAAGTCTATTATTAAAAGTAAAAATAATGCCAGGCATGGTGGTACATGGCTATAATCCCAGCACTTGGAAGGCTGAGGCAAGAGGGTCACCACAAGTTCGAGGCCAGCCTGGGCTATATAGTCAGCCTGAACTACATACCGAGACCCTGTCTCAAAAAACCAGGAAAAAAAGTGAAAATAATGTAGAGAGAGTTCTTATCGATGTTAACTGCTGGGACTCAGTAGTTCATGCCTGTAGTCCTAGCTGCTCAAGAAGCCAAAGCAGAAAGATCATAAGTTCAAACCCAGCCTTAGGAACTTAGTGACTTAATGAGACCCTATCTCAAAATAAAATATCAAAAGGGCTGGGGATGTACCATAGTGGCAGAGCACTTCTACATTCATTCCCTAGTACAACCAGAAGAAAGAAAGAGAGAGCGAAAGTGAGCGAGAGAGAGAGAGAGAGAGAGAGAGAGAGAGAGATTGGGTTGGGAGGTATAGTAAACAGGAAGGTAAAAATCATCTTTTCTCATTGTTCCACCTTTGTCCCACTTTCCATAGGTGACCTTTAACTACAGTTGGGTGTCTCCTCCCAGATCCTTTTGATACATGTGCAAATACATCTCCCCCACTATGAATATATCCCTTTATTCTACACATACTGCATTCCATTTTAGCCCTATTATATTTTATATGTGTTTTTCAGTGCATCAAGCTTCCTTCTAACATGCTTTTTTCCCTCCTCACTAATTAGTAGACTTATGACAAACCTTGTTCATTATGGAGCCAAAGAAGAATGTGGTTTGATTTTTCTGCCATCTTAGCTTTAATTTTTTTTTTTCTTAGCTTTAATTTGATGGGCAGGAAACATCTTCCATTTTTGGCTCTCTGCCCATGCATCGCATTGAGGAGCAGTTTGGGGCCCACTGCAACCTGTACCCCAGACTGTGATCTGCCTTCATTGTTGCTCCCTTTTTGTCCAGAGGTTTAGTTAGGGAGGGTAGGAGAAAAAAAGAGAGAGAGAGAATGGTGTCACCCATCTTTTATGGCAAGTAGAAGTGCTGAGTGGTTTTTTTTGTTTTTGTTTTTAATATGTGTTTGCAATACATAATGATTGTGTTCCTTTTGCAGAGTTGGTACATGTACATAACATACCTTAATTCTTTTCTTTCATCCTTTTCCCCTCCTCTTTCTCTCTCCTCCCTTCATCTGTTGGTACACTTCCCTTTTGCAAGAGATCTTTCTCCCCTTTTCCTGTTATCTAGCTTTGATTTTGCTCTTTATAGTTTGGGTTTCTTATATAAGAGAAATCATATGATATTTAACCTGTGTGTCTATTGTACCTAACATTATGGTCTCACAGTTCCTCCAGTTTTCTACAAATGACTCAAGTTTATCCTCCTTTATAGCAGAGTAGTACTGTGTTGCTTATAAACACCACATTTTCATTATCCATTCATCTATTGATGGATATATAGGCCACTGGGGAGTGGGATCTTGCACCTTGCCCACATCATATAAACTTGGTAGGAAGCCAGGGTTGCCCGTGGTTAGCCTGGCCAGTTGGGGTTCCCTAGTACTGCCAAAAAAAAAAAAAAAAGTAACTTGGCAACTTTACAGATCATTTAAGAACTAGAGAAAGTAAATATAACTAACTCATAACTTTGCCAATCTAACCATTCCCATTTTGATATATTTCCTCTAGCCTTTGGTGGTGGGAGGGGGTAACCAGGGATTAAACCCAGAGCTTTTTTACATTGAGAGATAGATATATATTTATATATATGGTTTGTGGGGGTTTTTTTGGGGGGGTCTTTTGTTTTGGGGGGGGTTGGTTTTTTGAGACAGGGTCTTGCTGTGTACTTCAGGCTGGCCTTGAGCTGACTATGTAGCCCACATTGGCCTCGAACTCGCCTCCTCCTGCCTCAGCTTCCCAAGTGCTGGGATTATAGATGTGCACCACATGCCTGGCCTCACATTGAGCCTATATCCAAGCCTTTTTTTTTTTTTTTTTGAGATAGGGTCTTGCTAAATCCCTAAATTGTCCAGACTGGTCTCAAACTTGCAATCCTCCTACTTCATTTTCCCAGAGTGCTGGGATTACAGGCGTGTGCCACCACCACACCTGGCTTTCTAGTCATTTTTTTCATGTGCTTGGATGTTTTTAAAGATGATTACCTTCTTTTTTGGTGTTTCCCATGGCCCTTTACTTGGGAAAAAAATTTTAAAGGTACATGTCCACATAGCACTTTATCTTGGTCATCATTCTGTATAGCACTTCTTTGAAGCACAATTGTCCATAAAACGGGAAACTCAGATCGAATTGTCAGAGAAGGATCTTTAACCATTTAACTATTTTTAGTAGCTGAAAAATGACATCATGGTTTGGACTCTGTTTTTTTCCCCAATACTAGGTATGGGGGTGGAACACAGGGAACACTGAGCCTTTTTAATTTTTACATTTTGAGACAGGGTCTCAATAAGTTGCTGAATTGCCCAGGCTGCCCTGGAACTTGCAGTCCTCCTGCCTCAGCCTTCCAGAATGCTGAGATTATATGTGTGTGCCGCTCTGCCTCACTTGGGGATTGTTTTTATCCTATTGTTCTCTCCTGATGCCTGACTCCAGTGAGGAAGAACCTATCTAGTTCTAATGTCTATTCCATCTAGATCTAATATCCTAACCTTGTTAGGGTTAAGGGAGCCCAGGGTTATTTGGGACATGGAGTTAATGCCAGATTTGAGTCCTGGCCCTGCCACTCACTAGCTGCATAGCTGTGTGGTGTGGGGCAAATACCTTAACATTTTTGTTTCCTCCTCTATAAAATGAGGACTTAAAATAAAACCTCCTTCCCAGATGTTTTGGTGAGTAAATGCTTGTAAATTATGACTCACTCTCCAGATGCAGGGATTGTTGTCCACATTCCCCAATTGACCTTGCTTGCTGTCTGTGTTGTTCTTAGCGGATGACCATCAGGCTCTCATCTGGGACATCCAGCAAATGCCCCGAGCCATCGAGGACCCTATCCTGGCCTACACAGCTGAAGGAGAGATCAACAATGTGCAGTGGGCATCAACTCAGCCTGACTGGATCGCCATCTGCTATAACAACTGCCTGGAGATACTCAGAGTGTAGTGTTAGTGGCGACTCACCCACAAGGCAGGGGCTTGTGTGTTTTCCACCTCTGCCCCACTCCAAGTAAGAAGAAATGTATTTCCAGTGGCCAGTATGTCTGTTGTTGCTTTGCACCCACTGTTTCCAGAAGCTGCTCTATGAGTGTCCGGCCAGTCAACCAACATTCTTTCTGCCGGATTCAGTGCTATGTGGCGTTTCCTCAGCCCAGGGCTGAGTTTTAACATTTTTCTCTCTTCTTTTCCTATGTTTTCTCAATTAAATATGTCTACATATTTGTTTGTCAGCTCTTAACGTTAATGAGCAGTACAAGCACTGGCTCTGTTTGTATCTATCTGGCCCAGTGTCTGTCTGTTTGCTGCCCAAGGCAGTGGTCCATGTCTTATACCTGTCCGTGTCCCTGTTAGCACTTAAGTGGGAACAAATGCCAACTTGAAGTTGTCTTTCCTCCTGGTGTCAGTGTCTTTAACAAATTTCAACTTTGTATATTTTTTATCTATCAGGCTAATTTTTTAATGAAAATAATATTACTCTTCTAGTCTCTTCTTTTGTTTTATAGTTCTCCCCTTTTGCATCTTCCTTTCTTCTCTCAGTGCCTGGAGCAGGTACTGGGTCCTTGACCCTATGAGCAGTTTGCCTTCCTGAGTCACTGACAGAGTGGCACATACCTGACCAGGAGTCCCAAACCACCCTGGTGCTCTGAAGTCTACCAACTCATCAACATTTTCTCAGCCTGGCTCTTCTCAAGGCTCTTCTTTACCCACAGGACAGACAAGCTCCCGTGTCTGGCCTCACTGGTACCTTTTGGGCACATGGTAGAGCTTAGATAGGCAGCCGATTGGGGGCAGGGGGGCAGGCTGGAGAGGAATCATTTCAGGAAAGCTGAACTTAGAGCATATTTCCAGTACCTAGTTTCAGAGTTTGTTTTTCCCTTTAGTCGTAAGCCCCAGGCCACTCCATTCTGGGACTTGAATGATAAGTAAGAATGATCTCTAGGCTGAACTTTGGTATTTATCTTTATTGAGCTTCCTGTGCCTGGTGGAATATTGGTCCCTCTTTGGATTAAGTGCTCTGAGTGAGAGAGTCTTCCTAAGAGGAAAAGTCTATGTGTCTGACACTGTACAGGTTCTTTAGAAGTGGGGAGACAGGAAGCTGTCAACTGGGGATGGACTAATTGGCTGTGATGATCCAGAGCCATTAAGTACCTAGCTTCATAAGAATCATAGACCCAGGGTCAGTCAGTGAAAAGGTCTACTCGCACCTGTCAGATTCGTTCCTACGCCAATTTACTTTCTGGGCAGTATTGAACTTGTAGTTTTCTGTAACCCGTTGACTTACAGGCTGCAAGTGTCTGTTTCCGTTACATACATAGGTTTCATGGAGGGGGCTTGTGTGTAATTCTGACTTTAGATGAGTCCTTGGGGTGGACAGTTTGGGACTTGCACTAAGGAGAGTTTGCCTGGCCTATCATTCTCTGTCAAGTTCCTGAAGGTTTTTGGAACCTTCTGAGATAGTCACCTGAGATTAGGAGAGTAGCAGGCCTGACAATGGTTTTGTCCACTTCGGCTCTCACCTGCTCAGGAAATAAGTTAACTTCATTCTTCTCATTCTTTAAACTCTTCTGGTTGACTCTTCCCTTTCCACAGCTGATGTAGTTGTATACCAGAAGTCACAGCTTGCTTTACTACACAGGGGCTTGTCCTGAAGGAAAGGGGTTTTTTAGATGCGGTATTTCCTTCTTTGAGCTTCATACTTTGTTGTTCTGATGGTGGGATTTTGGGTGGCCATCTCCTGCATTTACCACCAGATTTTCACTGCATCAATTGGAGATAACAAAGCAAGCAGTTCTTGGTCAGACCCCTCCTCTGCTTTCAATTGTATTTGCTAGTGGTTACAGGGTCCTCCTGTCAAGGATAGCAAGGTCAGCTGATAGCTGCTGTCCTAGGAGGCCCCATTTCTTTCTATGGAGAAGGTCTGTGATGGGCGTCTGAGTGGTAGCAGTGGCTGGACCTGATTGGGGGGCGGGGTGAGGTACTCCACTGAGTTCTTAGTGGACCTAATCCTGGTCTGAATGGCAAGGAAATTTCTCAACTGAAACTTGAAAAATGCTAATTCAGAAAATTTAATTAGCAGTGGTTATTGCATAGATTTGAATGATGGTTTTTCCTTGCCCTGTGGACTCTCAGCCCTGTCATCCTTCCTCAGGCTCTGCAGTGCAGTTCCTCTGCATCCATCTGGAGCCCAGAGGAGACTCCGATCCCTCAGCAAACACATGTGCCCGGTTTCAGGTGGCTGACATTTTGAAGTCCCAGCTGCTAGGGCTTTATGTGGAGGCACCTCTGGGCACTGGGGCAGCTGTGATGTCCCCTCTGATGCTCTTGACAGGCCAAGCCACAGGCAAAAACAGGTCTGCCCTGCTGAAGGGCAGAAAGCTGGATCAGTTAGGCCTGAGAGCCTAATTGAATGGGTCCAGGGCATTCAAGGACATGACCTTTACACTCAAGAGGTTGGGACCCTCTCCTTCCAAGAACGACTCTGAGAGGTCAGGACGTAAAGAGGGGCAATATTTGATAACTGGGTGACAACTTCGTATCAGATCCAGGATCAGCTCTCAGAGAATTAGCTAAGATTTAATAAGAACATTAAAAATTCAGACTCCTACAACAGTTTGTCAATAGTTATGGCTGGAATTTTACAAGATTTAGGTTGTAGGAGAAAGTCAGTGGTATTTCTTTGGATCAAGGGAGGAAATATTAAAGCCCAGGTAAAGTCTGAGGTGGGGAACCATTCAGACTTGTGTGACTGTAGAGTGAAACCATGCCCTCAGACCAGTCACCTTCCTAGACTATTAATCAGGCATCTGTGGTGCTGGGTAACTATGGGACAGGGTGACAGCTCAGGAAAGGAGCCCCTCCCTGCAGCAGGCGAAAATAGGTGAAAATTTGCAAGCATTGGGTATCCCATGGCAATTCCAGACCATAGTTCCTCTTAGCTGTAGATTTGTACAGAGGTGGTAAACAGTCATGTAGACCTTTCCCCCTTCTTCTTCTTTTCTCTTACCATTACACTATAGAACTTTCTCCTTGCTGCAACATGGCCCTGAAGGAAATCTTTTTTTTTTTTTTTTCTTTTGGTACTGGGAATCAAACTCAGGACCTTGGGCTTTTGATGCAGGTGGCGGCACCACTGAGCTAAATCCCCGGCTACATGACCCTGAATTCTTAGGCTGTAAGGACATATAGGAGCTGCAGGGTTTACCAAAAAAGGGAGGGCCGCCCAGACCTGCACCTCCACCTTCCTCACTTTGAGAATATGACAGTTCCTTTGACTTCTGGTTTGGGACAAGGGGCTACCGTTGAAGTAGAATCCTTGAAGCGCACTTTTTCCTTTACTCTCTGTACTCTAGGACAAGGAAGGGGGGCCGTGCTTGGTACTTAGCTTAGGTTTTCTGAAAGAAAGCTGAGCTAAGCAAAGTCACCAAGAACCATAGGCCAGGCTTTTTGGGAGTTATCTTCTCTGCCCTGATTGTGTAGCCACCAGAGTGTCTTGTATTGCAGAGCCTTGTCCACCTCACCCACCTGTACCTTTTCCTCCTCCCACTGTTGTCACTGCTGCTAATGGTCAGAATCAATTGGGTGGCCACATAGGATGGGTCAAGGCCTCTTGGGCTACTTTCTGGATGTCATTTTTTAAAATTTGGAAACATGAAGGTGCCTTCCTAAAAGAGGCTTGGACTGGTGTGTCAAACCAGGAACAAATAAGCTAAGAAAGTTTGAACTCCAGAAGAAAGATGCTGACAATGTGTGACAGCTGGAAAATGTGCAAGCACCCACCTTTGGGACAACCCAGTGAAGATGAACTTGTAATAATCTACTGTTGAAAGAAATGTTCACACCTTGGGTTGCATTATGAAAACTGTTCACTTGAAGTTTCGAATTGCTTTAGTCCACTATGGATCACTTGCTTTGGTTCCTGTTTATTTTATGACCCCTCTGTCAGTGATTTTCCCTCGCCCCCTCTCTGAGTGTGAATTTGTAGCATGATTGTATAAACCTCTATGTAGAAGTTGGGGATTTCTTCTTCTCTGAAATGTTAAGCTCTAATCTCTGTGCCCTTTAGCCTAGTGTGTCTGAACTTACTTTCTTCTTATATATTTAAACTTTCCCTCTGTCCTGTAGGTTTTGTAGCATCTCCTGGTCAGGTGAAGAGGAAGCTGCTCCTTGCCGAACTGTACTGTAACCATTTTTCTTTTATAAATATTTTCACAGGACTGAATGTACACAGGGCTTGTAATAAAATTTTAACACTGTGCTGTGAAACCACGCAGAGGAATTTCCACTGAAGGCACTACAAAAGCACCTGAAAGTGGAATCTTCTGTGACTTTTATTTCTTGCTTCTTAAGTACATTAAGCCTAATTTTCACCCTTTCATTTTGTTTCAGCCTCCTGTATAAGAAGTACCGTATTTTCTTCCCATCATACTTTGTAATAAAACTTGAACATATGTAGATGAATTTCCTCTTGTGATGAATTCAGTTCTTCCTAGTTTGCCCCTGTGGTCATGTTTAAGAGACACTGGCTAGGGGACTAGACTCTGCCCATCACATTTGTCACTATTTGTCTTTTTTTTTTTTTTGGTACGTACATTTTTTTTTTTTGTAGTACATAATGAGTCCATTCATAATGGATTCATCTTTATCTCCTATTTGGTCACATATTTCTTACTCAGTTCACAAAAGATGGAGCATCTACTGTGCCAAAGGCATGACTCTCAAATTGCTTGTACTGTACCAGAGGAGACTACCACATAAACAGATAGTACTTAAACATCCTCATAAACCAGATACTTGACAGTGTTCTGCGAGATCAGGGATGGGCTGGGTACACTGGGAGGCCTGAGAAGATGACTGGCTCTTCCTGGATGGGAGCCACCAGGGTGAGGGAAAATGTCAGAGAATGAAGAATGCCTGACTTGGGTTTATAAGTTGGTGGGTTATGTATGAGGAATGGTGGCAAATGTGGCCAGAGAAGGAAGCAGGAGCCAGATCAGGGAGAGTCTGGCAAAAATGTTTGACCTTGCTGGGGATTTAGCTCAGTGGTTCTGGCACCTGCCGCGCAAGCACGAGGTCCCGAGTTTGATCCCCAGTACCAAAAAAAAAAAATGTTAGACCTTATACTCATGTTTGAAAGTTTGGAAGATATATGTGGAAGGAAGTCACAATTAGAATTGCATTGCAGAGGGACGGGGTTTTAGCTCAGTGGTTCTGCCGCCTGGTGCACAAGCACAAGGACCCGAGTTCAATCCTCGGTACCAAAAAAAAAAAAAAAAAATAGAATTGCATTGCAGAAGGACAGGCAATGGAGAGAAAGCCTCTGAGGGGGTGGTGAGAGGAGGAAGAAGATCATCTGATAGAATAATCAAGGTGTAAAGCAATAAAAACTTGAACTAAGGAACTGCAGAGAAGGGGAGGACAGGGCACAAGTCATAGGAGTTAAGAGATGAAATTATCAGGATTCAGTAGTCTTCCAGGTGTGGTGGTACACACGCGTGATCCCAGCACTCTTGAAGACTAGGCAAGAGGATCACAAGTTTGGGACCAGCCTAGACAACTTACAGAGGCCCTGTCTCAAAATAAAAAATGGCTGGGGATGTAGATCAGTGTGAAGGCCCTGGATTCAATCCCCAGTACCACCATAAAAGAAAAGAGAAAGTATTCAGTAACTATTGGCAGTGAGGAAGACAGATAACTCGCAACTTGGAGATCGGTGTTTGAACACTAGGCTCTGACAGCTGACTAGAAATTTCAAGATCCAAATCGGTTTCCCAAACCTATGCCTCAACATGTAGGATGGGGGAGGGGTTCGTATACTACTTCTTTTCCGATGCCATGTGTCCTAAATAAATACAACCCCTCCTCCATTTATTTATTTTTATTTTTATTTCTTTTAGTACTGGGGATCAAACTTGGGATCTTGCCCTTGTGAGGCAGGTGCCGGAACCACTGAGCTAAAACCCCAGCCCTGCTCCATTTTTTTTTTTTTTGGTACTGGGGATCGAACTTGGGACCTTGCGCTTGCAAGGCAGCCAGCGGAACCACTGAGCTAAATCTCTGGCCCTATTTATTTTTAATTCTGTGCTCATGGTAGACCTCTGTAAAGGAAGAGAAGAAAGGCAACCTAAGTCAGTATTCAGTAAGTGCCTGCCATTGTGTCCCAGGACATGGAGCTCAGAGCCAGTGAGTCTGTGAAGACAAGAATATAGTCTGGAGAACTCTGAGCATCTGCTGGCTCTGTTGGAACTATGCTGTAAAATCTGACAATGCATATTTTAGGGAAATACATGTTTCCTGGATTTGTTTTGGTTTGGTTTTGGTGGTACTGGGAATTGAACCCAGGGCCTTGCATGTACGGTACTAGATAAGTATTCTATCACTGAGCTATACCTACCGTCCCAGCCCTTTAAAATTTTTTGAGACAGGCTCTTGTTAAGTTTCCCACATTGGCCTTGAACTTGCATCCCTCCTGCATCAGCCTCCTGAGTAGCTGGCATTACAGGTGTGCACCACCATGCCCAGCAAGCTCCCTAGATATGAGAAAGATGGGAGAGTAACATTGACTATAATCTTGATAGTCTAGGCCCATGATGGTGAACCTTTTAGAATTTTCAATAATACAAACAGCATGATACAGACAGCCCGCTGTAGCATGTGTGCCATACAGGTTTGCCACCACTGGTCTAGCCTATGCTACTGTAACAAACCCCCAAATCTCAGGGACCAAGAAGAACAAAAGTTTTATTTTTGCTTATACAAAGTTCTCTCCACCTTCTAACTACCTCATCTAGACTATATGTCTTCTAAGTAACTTGGGAGAGGCGCTGTTTTGCTGAATGACCCTGGAAGTAGCATTCTCCTCACAACTGCAAAGAAAGTCAAGAAATGCAGTTTTTCTGTGTACTCTGAAAGAGAAAATAAAGTGATGAATAAATAGTAACATCTCTGCAGTACCAGAAAATTAGCAAATGATCTGGAATAATTGGTAGTGTCATTTCATTCCTTGAGAGCTGTTAGACAACACATATTTGAGCCTAATAGGATGATACTTCAGCCAGTTTTGTGTCTCCAAGGCTCCCTTTTAGGTAAGTGATTTCATGATCCTGATGAGGTCTCTAGAGATGGTTCAGTCACCTGTGAATTTATCTCAGGAAAGTAAATATTAGACTGAGAAAGGAAAACTCTCAGATCACAGATAAACAGACACAGGTAAGGGACCATGTCTAGGAACAGTGGGAATCTCATTTGATAAGGGACCCTGGCATGGCTCCATGGTAGAGCACTTGCTAGCATTTATCAACACCTGGGTTGCAGCCCTAAGCACTGGGGCTAGGGACACTGAAAACCAGCCAGAAAGTTAATAGGAAATGATACTTTTCTCCCATGCACACATTCCAACTTAAAGTGTCATAAAAACTTTCTTGTCTGAAGAAGTAGAAATAGCAAATACATGAAAAAATGTTCAACATCACTGGTCATTCGAGAGATGCAAATGAAAACAAAGCTGAGATTCCACTTCACTCCAGAAAGAATGGCTGCTATCATGAAATCAACCAATAACAAATGCTGGTGGGGCTGT